TAGTGCCATGTCCATCTGTACATGTGCCTATCTTAGAAATAACCAATATGGAATAATAACCAATAACCAATATGGAATAATAGCAATAACCAATATGGAATAATAAAAAACTCAATTATGCATTTTGAAAACAAAAGAAAATTCCAGATGCATACAATACATGCACTAGCACTACAAAAGCACTTTCAGCTTCTGAGGTAAGTGGACTTTAGTTTTAAACCTTAAGTTATTTTATTAAGGTATGTATTTTCACATACATACTTTTACAGTTCTAAGTTGCCTCAAAAACCTACAACCTCATGAATGGTATGTTTTTAGCAGCACCAGTAGTTGTTACGTTACATACTGCAAGCAGTGAGTATGAATTCCAGCTGCATTAAGCCACAGCAGTGCACACACAGAGTAACTGATATTTTACAAGAACTGTTGTATATGATCTTACAAGGCTGGAAAAAGTAGCATGCCTAGTCCAGGTGGGGACCTGCTTCACAGAGAAATAAAAACTAAACTATATTTCCCAAACAGAAGGAGAAATACTATACTTCTGCAAGTAAAATACCAGAGGAAAAGCAAATTAAATTCTGTTATCACTACTTTCCCCAGATTCACTGGGGAATATCACTGTATCACCAAATATCACTGTTTTAATTCAAACTTCAAGACTCAAGGTATTATAGGCTGGAGGTGACTGACTGCTGTGAATATTTTTCCTGTACCATGGGCTAATAAGTGATGAGTTCTCTCCACCACCACTGCTGCTGCTGAGGTTACTGCAGCTCACAGCCTTCACATTACAGCTCCAGTCTAATGGACTCAGCATGATCCCTCACTCCTCTCCCATTCTCCCTCACCCATCCTAAATCCTGAAAAGCCTTCTTTTCCCCTGTACAGGGAAGCCCAGTCTTTGGCTCTGTGTCTGCACTGTCTGACTCCTACTCCTAAAGCAAGTTATACTAAAAGCACAGAAGAGTATTGATTATATGCATTTAAAGAAAGATACCTAAAGCTGATGGCAAGTGCTGGTGGTTAGCTCTGATGATGCAGAATTAGCTTTTCTCTAATTATTTTGCACTAAGTGTACAATACCTACCAATGCATAAAAAGCCTTTCTGTCAAATGCAACCCTGCTAAAATTTGTTGAACACAACCAATCATTTTTTTTCTTTATCTTTTTTCAGACTTCCTACAAATGATGCTCCGAAATAAGACTGATAACTTTTAAAGTTTAAAGAGACAGATTCTACCTAATTTCAGAAGAAATTTCATCATTGTAGTTGATTATAATTGTCACTTTTTTATTCATTTCACAGCCACACGTTGTTCTGTTTCACTTGATTAGGCATTTCATACAAAAAAAAAGAGACAAGAAAGGGACAAAAACTTCTGTAAGCAACCAAGAGAAAAAAAGAAATTGCTTGTACACAGAAAACTCTTCACTGAATAAATTAAACTGCAAGAGTATTAAGATAATGTATCACTCACAGTTTCATCAGATGAATATGTAAAATGTAAAATTAGTTGACAGAGTATTTTCATATAGATTCATTCATTTGTATTTCAAATTTCACTAACTTCGAGGAAAGCATAACTGAAAATAAATACATATCAATTTAGAGAAATTGTATTTTCAAGGTAGCTCTAAATAAAAGTGGCCAAAATTTTCCCCCAGCATCTTACTGGAATGAAGACAAAATATGGAAAATATCTTCCTCCAGCACAAGTCAGGAGTGCCTCCCACCCCACAATGCATTCAGAGGGGTTTAGGAAGTAGTGTGTCCCTTTACCTAACTTAGTAAGTAAATACAGTGATAGGACTTCAGTACAAAAGAAGAAGAAGAAGCCATATGAATGCTAATGATGCTATTAAAAACTCTCCCTCCTGGAAAAGCACATTCCAGAACTGCTTTCCTCTCTGTTTAAAATGTTTTCAAACTGCTGGCTAAGCAATGCATCAAGGTACTTGGATAGAGACATTCACACCATTTCACATTATCCTGTCAAGTACAGATAGCAAGTGTGATTTTCTTCCTGATTCATCTTATCTTGGAAGTCAATCTTCGCTAGGGTTTTAGGCATACCCTTCAGCTAAGTACATTTTTTGAGCTGGAGAAGTAATTCTTGTTCCTTATGCCTGAGGGCACACTGGACTGCTGGAATATGAAGAACTATTTTTTAAAGCTTCTTCTGCTGAAGAAACTATAATATGCAGATCTAGAAACAATTATAACCAGGGTGCCTTACCTCTGTAAGAGCCACCGGATGGAATTTATTAAGATTCTCTGAGATCCTGTAACCAGACCAGACCAAATGATACCTGACAGGGCACTAGAGATGAGCCAGTTACATCTTCATTCCCTGGTCTCAAATACACAGGTCAACATTATTCAATCCTGATGTCCCTAAAAGTCCCTGTAGGATCAGGAAGTGAATAATTGTCAACAGGAGATACTGCCCTTGCTTCACAAAACTCTTCCAAAACAATTTGGCGTATCTTTCTTTACAAATGACCTTTATGGAGATTGTTTAGCTGCTGGGAGGCTTGGTTAAAGCTAGCTCTCCCATAACCAGTTTGAGTCCCAATGGCTCAAAAGAGTCAGCAGCACAGAGAAAATAAGGCCATAAAAATATCTATGAGTGGTCAAAATAACTGCAGAACTTATACCCCAGAATTACTAGACTCATGACATTCAATTTCTTCCCTCCTCTCCTCCCATTCTTTTAAATTAATTACAAAATAGCTTAGTAGCAGATATTTTTTCCTATCTTTGTAGAAAACTGCTCTGTTGGCCTGGAGAAGAAAAGGCTCAGGGGGATCATATCCATGTGTTTAGATATCTGCTTGGAGGAGTAAAGACAGATCCAGACTGTCTTCAATGAAGCCCAGAGACAGGATGAGAAGCACCATGCAAAAATTGAAATACTAGAAATCCTATTTGAATAGAAGAAGAATCTTTTTTTACTGTCAGAGTTGCTCAACACTGGAAAAAGTTGCCCAGAGAGGTTGTAGAGTCTCTATCCTTGGAGATATTACAAACCTGACTGGACATGACCCTGAGCAACCTGCACTAATCGAGTGTGCTTTGGGCAAAAGGAAAAGATGTCTCTCTGGGTCCCTTTTGAACTCTACAGTTCTATGTCAATACACCTATAATGAGGTGATCACAGTAAACTGACTCAAATAAAGAAAAATTATGAATTAGTGTTATAAGCACAGGTTCAGATTTTAAGCTCTCATTCTAACGGAAGGGAAATCAATCTTACTTCCTGCTTAATCCTTTATAGAACACCAGTGCTTTCATTTTCTGCATGTACAATTCCATCTGCTGAGTTTCAGAAACATTAGCAGTCAGAGACTATATCTTGCATTAAGGTGAGTAATTTTGCAATTCTTCAGCTAGAGATGAGGTAATATAAAAATATATTGCATTACTGCTCTCTGGTCACACTCTTGTTCCATTATTATAATTTCTTTTGTAACAGCAAACTCACAACTTGCCAACATTCTTTTCCTTCTGGAACCTGACATAACCTGTTCACACAGAAAAGTGACACAGCAAGTTTAGCACAGCAAATAATGATTGCACATGTCCTTAACTTCCTCATATGTGAATTCCTATAGAATGCCTTGGAACAAAATCATGCAAAGCAAGAATGCTGTTGTACTACTCATGAAAAATTTAGTAGTGGTATTTGACTCTTTTTAGAAAGTTGAAATAATTGCCACTGGAACCACAGCAGTTCTAAGGGACTAAACCCAAATAATAGCTCCTCTTTAGTAAGATTCAACATGTCACAAGCAAGACAACTTCTTTCCTTGAACTCATAGATGCTATTTGGGCAGGAGCTGGACTGTCTTCCGGTACTGAAATTTCTGGATCCTCTCTCTATAGATTAATTGTGTACTTCTCTGAAAAAAAAGGGTTTTCTTCTTTGCTGTCTTGGAGGACGAATATTAGAAGGTAGAGAATTCTCCAGTTTAAGCTTTTCTTGTATGTTATGTCCTAGAACATGTTAAAAACAAGAGGGACCAACAACCCACATGTAATCCAATCCCAAGTGATTACTGCAGCTGTGCCACAGCCTGAGTTCCAGGCAATCTGACAGAGACTGGGGGGAAAGATTTCTTTCTGCTCCTCCCATAGATGATGCGCAGCTTTCCAAATGGTATCGGGAAGATCCTTCATTCAAGCAACTGAAATGGTTCAATATCAAGTGAAGAATCTCAGGGACTTCAGAAACTCAGATTGAGAACAGTGCTTCCATTAAGCATTTTTCTTTCACCCATGCTCAATCACTACATTTTAAAGGAAAGCACTGGAAATAAAATCCATTTATCAAGGAAAAAAAAGAAAAGTTTGTAATCCTTGTAGGGAACAAGAAGACACAGAGAGATATGAGAATAATCCAATATATTGTCAAAATAATTTAAATGAAACAGAGATCAGATGTTTTGTTGTGTATTCATGGATGCAAGACACAAAATAACATAAATCACAGACTTAGTGTTTAGCTGCAGAATTCTTCCTACTACGTTGTCATATGACTCTCTCTGTTAACAGAGAAGCTTTGTTTTGAAACAGTCCGACTTTATTGCCCCATCAGTAGTAATAATTTCAGAATTTCATTCTGTGACCAATCTACAGGTACTTGACCTATAACATTATTATCTTTTAATTTAAACAATTTGTCTCCCTTTGTAGTATTTCCTCCATTAGCATATGCAAAAAGTCAAAATCTCACCTCTTCGTGGAATGAAAGAAAAATGACTTTGAAACAGTAATAATTTGAAAAGCATTCTGCAACCTTTTCATCAAATCATAATCTAATTTGTCTTCTGGGATACATTGCATAAAATAGAAAGGCAGTGATAAAAAACCAACTTGAATGCCACAGTAGCACTTTTAATGATGCTGAATTAATTTAGACAGTATCCAGCCAGATTAATTTTAACTGTGTGATTTGTAACTATTTTTAAAAAATACATATAATGAAGCACTTACAGACACCTGAAGATAGCTGGCCAAAGGCTGATAATGCTGGCTTTTCCTTTAGTTGTTGAATCAAGTGTTGTATTGCCTTCCAGTCAGCATTCAAGTCTTCTAATTTTTTCTGGAATAGAAGATAACAAAATATTAAATTTATAATACATACATTAATGTATCACAGAATCACAGAATGGCTTGGGTTGGTTGGAAGGGACCTTAAAGAATTTCTAGTTCCAACTCTCCTCCCACCATGGGAAGGGATGCCACCCCATAGATCAGCTTCCTCATGGCCCCATCCAACAGGGGTTTGTAATGTAAACAAGTGCAAGTGCAATGTAAATAAATGCAAAATAAAATGTGTTGTTTCTTATTTTTTTTTCATCTGGTGGATCATCTGAATTTAAAAAAAAATATGAAACAGAAAGATACAACAATGAATTCTCACAAGTGGGGGAGGGACAAGTAAAATCCTTTCTAGCTGTGCTACAAAAGAGTTTCCTGGTGTCAGGGCCCTAAAAGCATCTTTTCTCCTCAAAGTTTGGCTGCTGAAGCTCAGAGCCATATTAGAACCAGCACAGGTGCCTGACTCTGATCGCAGAGTGATTTCCTGGACCAATCTCAGCCACCCAGGGTTGTGTTTGGTTGCCCACACAAGGCCTAGTCCTCACCCTGCCAGGGACAGCCCCCCCAGCCTGAGAGGCTTGGCTTTTGAGCACTGTGAACATGAAATTCAATTTTTAAAATTAAAATAGAAATGTGAGTTATGTATTTCAAAAAGCTTTTCAAAAATAATAAAACCTCTGCAACTTCTAACATCAAATGCAGAATTTATTCTTCTGCACATTAAATTAAAAGAAAAAAGTCTTTGGAGTCTTCAGGGTACCAAAAACTTCAGTGTGTGAGCATACAGTCCTGTGCAGTAAACAAAACCTGCAGGAAAGTCTGGAGTGTGAATAACACCAGTCCTCAGATAACCCTGAGAGGCACTTAGATTTGAATATGTTGTTTCTACCTCTCTTTTTTTTGTTGCTTTAATTACTGTAAAGAATGATGAAGCTTTGCTAATTCTATGCTGACATGTCTAAATTCTTAAATGAAGACAGCATTTCTCTTTAAGCTGCTCTATGATTCTCTGCTACAAAAAGCAGCACAGAGTACTGATGCAGCTCAGAAATGCTTTTAGCGTTCTATGGCTTCAATCCACAATTAGATATATAGCCAAAATCACAATCCAGCCATGATAGAAACAGGATGCCTATTAAGAAATGTACTTTAATTACCTGGGGTCTATTCTGACAGAGGTCAATAGGAGAGGGATGGAGAGCAATGCTCATTAAATTGAAGTATGTGTGTACCCACACACACTCACACACAGACTCTGAGGCAGTGGGGAAGGTTTAGGTATCAGGAAAAGATTTTTCACCCAAAGAGCGCTTGTGTACTAGGCTCTCCAGGGAAGTGGTCACAGCTGCAAGCCAGTCTGAGCTCAAGAAATGTTTGGACAACACTCTCAGGCACATGGAGGATTCTGGGGCTGTCTCATGCAGGACCAGGAGTTGGGCTCTATTCCATCGTTCCAATATTGGTCCTTGTCATGAGCAGCTACTTAATCATTTTTACATACATGATCCTGAGATTTCTTGCCAGCAACCAAATAAAAACATGCTCACCAGAGTTAGAGTGGTTGTCCAGGGAAACAGCTACACCACTAATAAGAGAGCAGCCAGTTCTAAACCCTTCTATCAAAATTACAGTTTGATCTTGCATCTGGCATAAATTAACATGCATGCATTAAAATGTTAACTTCTTTGAGCACAACAATTTTGCTGTAATTGCAATTCTAGAGCTCTGGTGACAAGCATGAACATCCGAATACATTGCACTTAGCATAAAATTTATAGATTTTCTTTAAATGCCAGCACTGGTGCAATTTAAGCAATGTTAACACCCTTATGTGGACTAATCTTACTGACAGCACTAAAATTAGGTATGAATATTTAGAGAGAGAAATGTAGGCTTTTAAATGCAAGATTGAGAACAATGAAAATAAATTCCTCACTATTTCTCACCCATGAGAGGAAAAGACAAATTGAGTGCTGTGGCAAGGGAACCACAGCTCTTCCACTGGCACAGAAATCCTTTCCTGAATAAACTGTTCTGATTAAGTGCTGTTAATCATGAGATTGGGGCTTACATCCTTTCTATTGCCACTGACACCAGCAGTAACCTCTCTCTCCCTCACCTTCAAAAGCTTTACAAAAATGCATTTCAAAAGCATGAAATCCATTTTATAAAAGTGAATAGGTCTGATTATTAAAGTGCTAGTGCTTAAAGGATCACACATCTCATCCCATTCTTGACTCTTGAATCAGCATATACAAGGATTTCATTTGCCAACAAAAATGTTTTTACAGACTTGTGTTGCAAAATTCTATTTTAGTATGCTTAGTGAAGGTGTGAAAATATACTTATTTCAGTGACATAACTATGAGATAAGATTATGTAAGTGTCAATATAAATCCATGGGATTTAATTTACATTCAAAACACAATAATGAGAACATATTATAAAGGTTGCAAAGATAAGCAGCTAAGCATTAGGAAATGCCAGAATAATTTTAACTATGAACATTATTTCAGATAAAATGCACATAAATTGCAGGGATATCTCTCATTTTCTGGCACATACTGCTTTTGAGCACAGGAAAGGCTGTGGTGAGAATAAGTCAATAGGACCTCTACTTTATTGAAAAGAATGGGAAGATTTGTGGTGAATTAAGGAAATAATGGAGGGAAAAAAGCAAAGCTGCCCCAGAGAACTAAATAATCTACAAATTCGTCAAGCAATGCTAGACAAGTAATTAATGCTTTTAAAGAGGGCATGTAATTTTGTCTCCTTTTTTTCTGTGCCACACACTAAATAAGAACTATGGATCTAAGTATTGAATTGCTGCTTGCACTGTGAATGATATTCATATCCTGAGCTGAATTTAACTGGGTTCACTCTAAACCAAGGGTACTAGAGCAGCAGTAATTAAGCAATTTTCTAAAATTTTGAGTTCTTAGCTTTGCAAACTTGCTAATATCTTTCCAAAATCATCTTAATGTGAGTAAAAATTATTTTTGCTTCCACAAAATACCTTTCATGTAGAAAATTATTTTGATGGTAATCAAAAAGTTTGTATTTAAACATGTAAATAGCAGACTTTGCTGAAAGTAACTCAGGAAGAATGATGACTTATGGAAACCTACCTACAGCATCAAGAAAGCAATTCAAGAGTCCTAACAGCATATAACCACTGAACCAGAAATTAACCTCACAGGTTGCACAAATAAATAAATTACAGAATGTAAAGAAACAAGTAAAATGCAATCAAAGGGGGATTAAAAATGCACATATACCAAAGGGGATATTAACTCTCACGCATTTCTGTTCAGGAAAGAAGATGAGAAACTAAATAATTCTTAAACATGCATTAATTTTAAAAGTGGGTTCATTCACGTGTTCCTGTGAATGGATATCTGCTGGTGATCTATTGACAAGTAATTCAGAGGAAATTTTGTAAAAGTAGGAAAATAATACTCCAACTATAGTGACTAAATAGAGACAGAAAAACAAGAAATTCGCTGCGGAGATAACCTACAGACATCTTATCTTTGTGAAGAAACCCTTTTTCTGCCAATTGTGGTTTTGGAGTGCTGTACATTTTGAAAAGCTCTAAATACAAAGTTTATTATCTCAGCCCAGTCAGAAGCAGTTGTAATAGATACTTAGTGTAATCAATAAGTCACTATTACTGTTTCTGGGAACTCTTAACCATTATGTTTACAGATACTTAATTAGCAGTAATAACCCTAGAAACCAGACCAAGTTCTGGCTGTATGGTATTGACCTCACTAGTTTGGTCTCTTACTTGAAAAGTAGCTGAGCCAGACATGGGAAGATAACTGCTGATAACTTCAAGATTCTACAGGATGGAAAATGACACTCTAGTCTCAATGAAGGTCCTCATAGTCTTTAGGAAAAGCATGTAAAATATCCCCTTATAACTGATTTGTAAGCTGAAGATAAGGATTCTACAGTACATTTTTCTAAAAGAGAAGTGCTGGGAGGCATAGCCTTCCAAACAATATGTCCTCTGCTGCAAAACAGAATCAAGTCAGTAATTCTAGATAAAATTTGGCAGAGAAATTGAGTGGGAAAGTTCTATGTTGCCATGTGTTCTTTCCTTCAAAATGAAAAAAAAAAAGAACGCAAAGTACTTTGTTTATAACTTAACTCCCATCTTTTCTGGAAAATTTAAATTATTTTTTTAATTTGACAAAATTTCTGAAAGTGAAATTTAAAATAAAGCAGTTTAAAAGCAAGGTACATGTGGCCATTAATTACACAACAAAAATTGCATTTCCTTTCAGTCAGTGTGAATTACACTTGAATAAGTAAAACAACCTTAATGTCATAAACAATATTCCCATCACAATATGCATAAGATTTTTAGCTGGGAGCATTACATTTTCCATGGCTATGCCATCACAGAATAGAAAAAATGCCATTTGCCAGGTTGTTTCATTGATTTTAAGCAGAGCACATCAAGGACAAGTGTACAACAGGGGAAGCATAACCTATTACACAGCAATGGATATTGCTAAAGGTTGCTTCATTACCTTTACTGGATGAGTAGCTGGTTTTTCCTTGTATAAATGACACCCTTTAGACAAAACCTCTTCCACATTCGGCTGTTTAGCCTGCACTGCTGCTTCAGTTTCCTGAAAAATAAAAACATAGTCAGTGTAGATTAACCATAGTATAAGTAGTAAGACTGAATAGTCCCAAAACTCCATGGGAAGCTGTAAAACACCAGTAGACAAGATTCTGTTCAGAGTTGGTGTGAGGATAAACACAAGGATAGTGGCAGCTAGGGACAAAGAGGATCACCAGAAAAGTCAAAAGCAAAGAGGGATGGAAAGAGTGAGGTTACCAAAATAAACAGTGGTAGGTCACATCATCTTGAAAATTTCAATAAAATTAATAAAAAGCTAGCACAAATTCATAGTAAGAAAGACAGGCATGAGAAATCTCATTTAAGAGGCTCTGTTGTTTTGTCTATTTTACACCACCAGCTGATGAAAAGTGCACTTGTTAATATTTTTTTCATACGGTGTGACGCATTAAAACTGTCTGATGAGATGCAATGATACTGAGTTTAGAAAGATTAAAAATTTCCAAAGAAGACTGCAGTTGTGAGTATTAAACTTCCACTAAGGTAGTAAAAACACTTACAGAAACTAACTAAAAATAAATGCACAATAGTAGTGACAGTTCCTAAAGGTTCAGGGAGGCACCTACCATTAGCAACAGCGCCTTACTGAATTAAAACCAGCATATTCTCTAGCAATTTCTTTTTTAATCTGGAAAGGTGTAATCCATGTGCTAACATAAGGAAATCCCAAATAATGTTTCCTAGCATACAGCAGCTTCATTTTGCCAAGCACTGAGCAAATAAATAATGGGCAGAAGTCTACGATTAAGACAAAAATGCAAACCAACCAACCAACACAAAAATCCAAACCTACTGAAAATTGTAAAAGAAAAGATAAACTACACCTGGACTTCCAAGACTCATGGTTTATTTCATTTTTTCTCTAGTAATATAAGTGAAACAATAGCTGAGTTATCAAAATGAATTGGTTGGGGTCTTTTTCTTTTCCTCTCTTCACCCATCTACAATATAGGTTAATTACCTTGTCGTAATCATTGCTGACTACCCACTGACTCTCCAAGTTAATCTTCTGTCCACATTCTCAGTTATCATAAATGTGACAGTAGACAAGATTATGTGCCAGGTATGTCACTATCTGAGCTAACAAACACATTGTTTTATTGGTGAAAATCTGCTGTTCTTTTTACTGCAATAAACCTGCTGAAGTCCATACAATTTTAAGTCCCAAAAAGGGTCCATTTTGCTCCTATGTTGAAACTCAACATATAAAGTATGTCTACAATGCTCCCTAAAACTTTCCTGGCAAAACTTTATGGACAACCACTTAAAATAAAGATTAGTAAATTCAATGTTATCTTTAGTTTTTCTTTTCAAATACTATTTATCAACAACAAATGAATCAAACCTTGCAATGATATTTGAATGCAATGATTTCTTGCAATGATATTTGAAGCATGTTTCAATTTCATTTTTTCTTATTACACATTTTAATGTTACTGAAATATAACTGTAAGGATTCATAGAGAATGAGCACTGAAAAACAATGCACTGCAAAATTGAGATATTGAGGCGAGTGAGAGTTTATTAACCTTTTGATAAAGCCCTCATTAAAGTCTTATTTTCTTTCTGTTTCAATACTATGTTAACTTTTTACTTCCCTATTCAGCACATAAAGAAAAAAAATAATCAAGGAGTGTTAATGAAGAGGTAATTTTCTCCCTATCTTAATGAAAGCTTGGCATTTTAATAATTGTTACTTAGTTTTTGTTTCATGGTTTGTTTTGGGATTTTTGGTTTTTTTTCTTTAAACTAAACTCTCTGCAGTATTTGGCCAATACTTCCTCTTCTGTTATTCTACATGTCTCAAATACTCATTTTCTTTTATGACAGCATCAGTTACCATAACAAATTCTGTAGCAGGAAAATCACATTAAAACTCCTACAGTCCAAGAATACCAAGAACACTGTGGATGTGCCTATGCTGAGGGTTTAACCTGTGGCATGACTATGCCTTTGAAGTGGATTTCTCAATCCTCCACCCTCACCGGACTTTGTTTTTCACCATGGACTGGTCTAGGAGCACAGAAACCATTTTCTTTCAGGCTGTAACCAGTGTGGAAGGTGTAATGCATTGAGTTGTTAAAACACTGGTTCCTTTTGCTCTTCAATTTTCTGGAGTTACATGAACTAACCTTATATATCTGATCTTTCAAATTCAGGGGCCTTGACCTAAACCAAAATGCATTGATCAAGTCTATCCAATACAGCATGATGCTTCCTTTGAGATATATGTGGCAGTAAGAATAGAGGTAAGAGTACAGGGGAAAAAGAAGTTCTCAATATCTTGGCATTCATTTGGACACTGCTGAAATTAACAGGTATCATTCAGAGTAGCAAATACTTTGATTGTCGCTAATCCCACCATCAATTAAAAACATAACAAAATTACTTTGAATAAGTACACATCTGACACAAAATTGCTGTAGTAACTCTTTGCCCAGTACTTTGCTTGATGGGATAGCCCCTTGATGAATCCTGCCCAGTGAACAAGTTTCCAGCAATTTTAAATCCAATTGCTAGGTGACACCCTATTAATAGGGTTGACAGGCAAGAGAGTAGTTACAGGATTCTGCTCCATCATTTAATCCCCTAAGAGAAGAAAATGGTAATGACCACAATATAGCCTCTGATAGTTTGCACACAAAAAAAGACCACAGTTATTATCTAGGCCATGCAGGATCCAGGAGAAGAGCATATTCCCAGAGCAGACCCTGACCTCTAATCTTCATCACACAGGGCAGGCTACTGCTGAAGCTAGTAGGAATTGTAGATGCTCATTTCCACCAGCTTTTAGAGGATACCAAAGTCATATTTGTTTTAAAGTCCTGATCAAGTGCTCACACTCACTTTGCTGTGGGAGGATGCAGAGCTGTCTCTGGGAGACAGAGCTGACTGCTGGAATTGCACAATTTATGAACTGCCTGGGAAAGCAATCATAGTGCTGCTTCTGGGCTGGGTGATGAATATGCTAATTCAACTTTTCACACATACGGCAAATTAAAATACATCATCACTGGAAACTGCTGTTTCTCAAACATGTATAAACAAGAATCAGAGGCTACCTTTATCCGTGATGCACTATCTATGAGTTTTCAGTGGTGTTAAAGTAGTGCATCCAATCTGATGAAAGCCTGCTGCTGAATAAGCCACAGTGGCTTCTGCATTTACAACAACACGCCAATTCAACCTGCTGAAAAAAGTTACAGGCTGAAAAAGTGGCAAGGACTTGTCTACAGCCCCATCCGGACTATGAAAGTCTATTGATACAGCTCAGAACTCAGAAAATTCCTATTCCCTAGCTGAAACCAATATATTGACTAAACCTCTGGTGTGTATACCAATGGAAGATAAAATTTCATGGCTTGTCATATGTTATTTCAAAGGATGGAAACTATCCTAGCAGAGACACACAGACTGTTTGACATTTGCTGCACATACTATAGGAGGCCCAGTCAACTAAGAAATTGGTCTATATTAAAAATCACAAGCACTGATTCACCTTCTCTGGTAACACTGGTAACTTATGGGATCAATTTCCCCTGAGCTTACATCCTTTGGACATATTCTGCTGGGACAGTAGAAGAAGTTCAGGGTGATTAAACCTGTGTCTTCGCAGTGAAATACAGTACAAAAATGGAATCTTAATTACAGCCTTCAAACAAAAAAAAACCCAAACAAAAACAACTTTGAAATTAGAATAGTGAGTTGCTTCAAAACCTCTTGTTTCAAGTTGTTTCATGACCTCTTTTTAGCAAGACAGTACGTTAAATGAAATTTAAGGGAGAGAATTTATTCACAGGAAAAGAGAAGCACTAAGCAATTTCCCTTTACTTATCAAGACAAGGCAGTGATGTGTAACAAGCAAATATAATAAATCTAAAATCTAAAACTATTTGGCTGCTTTTAATTTCAAACAAAATTTTATGAAATAACCAGATATAAATCTCTGTATACATTAAACATGATAATAGAAAACTACATTTAAATATGATTTTCATGTGTTTAGATGTAGAAGAGCATAACTTGTAATGAGAATTCTCAGAGATGGATCTTCTTTTTCATGCACACAGAGTCATTAAGATTAGAAAAGACCTCCATGATCAAGTCCAACCTCTTGATACCTAAAGATTTTTAGCTTTTTCATTTATTTGTAGCTTGGTAGAATTTTAATATACAATTTTAGAATTTCTAGAACTTTCTTACCATTTTCCATGTTTTAGAACAATAGCTAACTCTTTCTAAGACGTTATGTTACACTCTTGAAATTCTGTTTAGTCTTATTGTCAAGAAAAGAATTTCTAACAAGGACATCTTGTTTTGCACCAGCATTTGAGAGACAAAACAAGAACTGCCTGGAGACACTCCAAGGTGCCCAAGGGTGGGTCACCAGGGCAACTGGTGTGCAATTGGGTGTACCTGATCGATAGACTAATTAACTTTATAAAAATTGTAGAAATCCTATGCTTCTTGCCTACATAGCTGTATTTGTGTATCTGAAAGCTTTAATTAAAGAACTGTTCTTTATATTAGCACTTTAACATTGTTTGGAAAAGCTTTTCTTTTGATTACAGGCAACACTTGGACCAAACACCACTTCAGCTAAACCATAGCATGTAGTGCTTGGAACTTGAACATCTTGAACACTTCCAGGAATGGTGACTCCACCACTTCCCCAGGCAGCATATTCACCCCTGACCATCCTTTTGGTGCAAAAATTCTTCCTCATGTCCAACCAGAACCTCCCCTGGCTCAGCCTGTGACAATTTTCTCTTGCTCCATTGATGGTTGTCTGGGAGAAGAGGCAGACCCTCACATGGCTACCACCTCCTTTCAGGGAGTTGGAGAGATCAAACTGAGCAACCTTCTCTCCAGGCTAAACCACTGCAGCTCCCTCAGCTGCTCCTCATCAGACCTGTGCTCCAGACCCTTCCCCAGCTCTGCTGCCCTGCTCTGCACTCACTCCAGCCCCTCAGTGCCTTTCCTGCA